TCGTGTTGTTGTCTGATCCAAGCCATCATATTGTTGTCTGATCCAAGCCATCGTGGGTTTTGTTGTCTCAGCTGCATGCAAACCCCAAACAGTGAATAGGGAAGACTGGAGAAGAATTGATGCATTTGGTTAATTGTATGGGCAAGGATTACTAATGGCCCTGGTATGTCAGAAAAAAATTATCAAATTGTCTTAGAAAAAAGTACTGACCACCTTAGAAGATGTCTCAGAATTGAGGATGAGGAGACTTTGTCTCAAGTATTTGGGACGTGTTGGGAGGAAAGACCTGTGCCTGGAGAAGGACCTCATGGTAAAGTAGAAGATCAACGAAAATGAAGCCCCTCAAAGATGAATTCACACAGGCCTGCAACAGTGAACTCAAGTATAAGAATACTTGTGAGGATGGCGCCGATTGGACAATGTTCCATTCTCAGAGTGCTATGAGTAAAAATCGATTCAGCAACATCTCATAATGTAGAATTGGTGGCACAACTGTTAAGGACATTTGGGAAAACTTGTATTATCCCTAAATATCAGATGTTTAGAAATTCTCTGAACAGCGAATCAGTTGCTATCCTATTAATCGAAATCCTTATGCGCCCTGAGTCAAAGAAGAATGTGCTCCGGAGGAGGTTCAGTGACTGATTTTTCAGAAGTGGATCACCTCCTTTTTTATTTCAAAAAGCTTCTGTTTGGATGAGAACCCACCACCTTGTGTTTGCCAACTGAGAACATGAACCATTTGCACCACCCTTTGAACAGCTAAGAAACAACAATATTTTACTACAAGGCCTATGCGAGTGCAGTCTATAAAAGCAATCTGTAATTTACATAAAAGGGCACTTTAAATTACCTTAAATAACGTTCTCTCTCTCTACCAGGGGATTTAAAATGTTGAATTGACTGTTTAGTACAGACAGAAGTTGAGAGAAGTAGATTTTAACTCAAGTTCGATGCCGTTTTGTTGTTGAGTTTGTTTTTGTTTGTTAAGCTATTTAACCTTTTAGGTTTTGTTCATTCCTGCATTTATTCGTCTATCTATTCATTGCACACACATTTGGCCAGCGTTGACACTGGCCTAGGCCCGAGGTTCTCTTTCAGGGGCTAACAGGCCATATTCCCCAGCGCCCTTGGAGCTCCGACATGTTCCACCAAAGAGAAGAACTGCCTAATGAGAGCCTTCCTAAAATGAGAATGATGCACTGTCCCTAAAGAGCTAGAGAACTTCACTCTGAACTAGGGAGAAATATGGCTCAGACTAGAAAAACAGCAGACATGAAATTAGAAGACTATTCTTAGTCATCACAAAAATGATAATCCCAAACCGAGGCTATCAAGAACAGAGTCTGAGAAGATGGAACCATAGCAAGAGTTGGGAAAGTGATGGAACTAATTAATACAAGAACTAATACATGAATGCTAGCATAAAACTTGCGGTAAAAATAAGAAACCTACTATAAGCAACACATGGCAAGCATTGGACCCTGGCCAGACACAATTTCAATTTCAGATGCTAAAATGCCAAGAACGCGTTGCTGGAAAATTATTTTCTTCTCCTTGCAATCCCCTCCACCAAAACCTGTATCTAGGTTGCTTAATTGGTCTTCGCACCATTTTACATCACAGTACCATTCACAGACAGACAGTTACTGGGTAATTCCAACACGTTGTGATTGTTTTTTTAATTAAACAGGCTACTCTAACTATAATAATTTAATTTTTCAATTCCCAAAGGTCATTTGAGTCATATATCCTCACTACCAATCTATGTTTCACTTTTGCGGGGTTGTTGTGTGTTTTTTTTATTTAAATGCTTCCTGCATGAACTTCCATATCCCTTCAGAGTAACAAAACTGAGCTGTTCTGTAAGCACCACATTTATTCACCATTGCTTTAAACCTGAAAATGCTGGAGAAATGCTAAGTGAAATCCACTACCCTGCTCTGATACAACACATATGACCCCTAGATATGTTAAGAACTTGATCTTCCAATACTTGTAATTCTAATCCTTGTAGAGAAAAAAATTCACTGCCTGAATTACAAGAGTGAAACTCATTAAGCTAAAGAGCAGTGACCTAGGTAACATGATGGATTAATATGCTGACCTTGCAACATTAAAGCTTTACTTTTGAATTTAATTTTGCAGGCAAGTCATTTTGATACTCAACACTGGCCTGTAATGGTGATGAGACAGTTGATCATTTTAGCCAGTAGTAGTCTATCTATAATTACACGAAGAACTCCCAAAACCTTTATTAAATGATCAGAATAAAATAAATAACATTTAATGAATTACAGTGAATGCTGTAATCACTAATAATTGTGTAACTTTGACAGGCACTGTAATAAGCATCAATATTTTGATACTTGAGCCATATGAATCTATTAATGATGTATGTTTACCTTTGATTAGTACTGAAAGACTATAAATAAATCAGATCATGAGTAATGCAATTAATTCGTTCTCAAATTCTATTCTTTTGGTAACAGCACCTGTGTTAATGTGTGTGTGAGTTTATTTATTTATTTTACCCACTCCAGGAAAAAAAAAATGTGTTGTTCTGTAATTCACCCTGCAGTCTAAAGAATTTTTAAAAGCAAATCAAAACTTACCAGTAATATATTTATGAAAAACGATTCCTTTCTAATTTTCTTTTTATAGATGCAAGAGATTCAGAACCCCGAAGGAACTCAATATAGTGCCCTTCCTCAGATGGCAGCCATAAGAACAAGGGGTCAACCTGCAGACATCAGGCAGCAGTCTGGGATGATGCCGCATGGCCAGCTAACCACCATTAATCAGTCTCAGCTCAGTGCCCAGCTGGGCTTGAATATGGGAGGCAGCAGTGTTTCCCACAACTCACCTTCTCCACCTGGAAGCAAATCTGCAACTCCCTCCCCATCCAGTTCAGTGCATGAAGATGAAGGGGATGAAACTTCCAAGGTGGGTATTTGAACAACCTGTGGGAACAGCCAGTTGCCCAAAAAAGTTATTCTGTGAATTTGGTAAGTGGATGGTCTAAGTTTATGCATCCAAATGAGATCATGAAAATGAGGACTTGTTTTCAATAATGCGTGGAGTGCAAAATGGGCTAAACCACCTGCTTATCAGATTACACTTTTGAGTCCACAATAAATCCTTGAATACAGATAACCTAAGTATAAACATAGTATACACCCAAAAAGTTTGTAAAATGGATAATACCGAATGAATTTTTAGGACTCGTATACCAACACCGATCCTAATTGCCAATCAAAAACAGTATGTTTCAGTTTAATCATTTAAATTTATTGTTATTGTTGTTGTTTGTGTTAACTCTATATACAAAACAGTATTTGCTAATTCAACGTTTTTCCATGAATAATTTAGTGGCATTTACAACATCCATCATGTTCTTCATTTATCACTCCTATCAGTTTTGAGAGCCATGTGTTTTGGAAAAAGCAACATCAGAGGAATGATACAATAATCTTTCTCAATCTGACCCAACTATTACATATTGATAGTGAAGCAATAATTAAGGTCATTCACTTCCAGAAATTTAAGTGACTAACCCAATGCCAACATGATTATCTGTCTAATTGTATTATTAGTAGTGCCAGTTTTTAACATTACTTGGAGGAGAAGAGAGGTCTTACATATTCTTAAATTAGAAAAATAGCTGCAGAAAGTAGTTCCTTAATGAGCTAGAGGCAATTTTTAAATGATTACAGAAAAACTGAGTAAACACTCAATAGCAGTGGCTATTATAATAGTGTCTTAGAAAGAGTAGCCATCCAAGTTGGGTGTCAGCTAAGTCCGTGTAGAAGAAGCACCCCAGCTTGTGTGATAAAAGAATTATAAATAATAAAATGTAAGAACCAATGAGGGAGCTGTATTAGAGTTCTAATTCTGAGCACCCAGTTTGCAGAAGGCTGTGGTGACAGTGAAAGCCCCAAATCAGTTTTCAGGGTCTCCAGTAAATTCCCCTTGATCATAGACCAGGCATGTGAATAAACTGCTACCAGAGAGAGTGCACTGGAAAGTGGATTCTTGCAAATGTAGTTAGGTTAAAATTTAACATCTTTTCATGGCATCTCCTTTTTGATCCATTTTCAATTTGTTCTAGTTTTTGGTATTTTTTGCTTTCTTTTCTGCTGAAGTTTTCTGTTTTATTTTGCTATTGTTGTTTGTTTTGTTCTCACTTTCAATTTGTATGTTTTTCTGTATATAATATCCAATATAAGTAAATCTATAGCTGGATTAATAGTTTCACAGGGGCATGGCAGAGGAGGTGGAGGAGAAATGAGGTTCTAATGACAATGACTACACGAAAGAAGAAAATGTTATTAAATTGTAGGGTTGATTGCACAACTCTTTTAATATGATGAAACTATTTAATTGTATATGATAGAAGAAAATCAAGCTGCCAAATGAAAGCATTAGCCAAAAACCAGACTCCAGGAATTGATGGAATACCAATTGAAATGTTTCAACAAACTGATGAAGCACTGAAAGTATTTACTCTTCTATGCCAGGAATTTGGAAGACAACTGCTTGGCCAAATGACTTGAAATTATCCATATTTGTACTCATTCCAAAGAAAGATGACCCAACTGAATGTTCAAATTATGGAACACTATCACTGATCCCACATGCAAGTAAAATTTTGCTGAAGATCATCCAACGGTGGTTGCAGCAGTACATTGACCGGGAGCCGCCAACCAAGGATTATAATTGCTGATTTCAGATGGATCTTGGCTGAAAGCAGAGAATACCAGAAAGATGTTTACTTGTGCTCTATTGACTATGCTGAGGCATTCGAGTGTGTGGATTATAACAAACTATGGATATCCTTAAGAAAATGTGAATTCCAGAACATTTTATTGGGCTCACATGGAACTTGTACATGTATCAAGAGTCAGTTGTGCAAACAGAAGGAGGAATACTGATTGCATCGGTTAAAATCAGGAAAGGAATGAATGTGTTAGGGTTGTATCCTCTCATCATATTTTTTTCAATCTGAGTATTGAGCAAATCACCAGAGAAGCTAGATTATATGAAGATGAGTGTGGCATCACAATTGGAGGAAGGCTTACTAGCAACCTGCAAAATGCAGATGATACAACTTTGCTCGAAGAAAGTGAGGAGGACTTAAACAACACTCGCTGGTGAAGATCAGGACTGCAGTCTTCAGTGTGGATTACAACTTAATGTAAAGACCAAAATCCTCACAACTGGGCCAATAGGCAACGTCATGGTAAATGGAGAAAAGTTTGAAGTTATTAAGGATTTGGTCCTGTGTGGGTTCACTATCAGTGCTCATGGGAGCAGAAGTGAAGAGAGCAAAAGAAGCGTTGCATTCTGCTGCACAAGACCTCAGTAAGTGTTGAAGAGCAATTACGTTATTTTGAGGCCTAATGTTTTCCTGACCGAAGCCATGGTATTTTCAGTTGCCTAATAAGCATGTAAATGTTGAACTGAAGAAGAATTGAAGCATTTGGATTGTGGTGGTCCTGAAGAATATTTAAAATGCCGTAGAATCCAGAAGGACAAGCAAACCTGACTTGAACGTGGTATGGCCAGAGTCCTCATTGGAGGTGAAGTGGGGAGACTTCAGCTTACATATAGCATACATGTTGTCAGGACATCACGGGTGATAAAGTCGAGGGACAGTGGAAAAGAGGAGAGCTCTCAACAAGAATGGTTGGCACCGTGGCTGCAACAATGGGCTCAAGCCTAGGAACAACTGTGAGGCTGGTGCAGTTTCATTCTGCTGTGTACCGGGTCCCTGTGGTTTGGAACCCAAGCGATGGCACCTAACGACATCAACCGTTTTCTATCCTTATTGAGTCTTTGTCTTGTTTTGATCTCAAGGTCATTCTCATTTCAGAAAACGGCTTTTTCTACATTCTAGAATACACTGTGCAGTGTTGGTCACAGCTCTTCTCTGGAGATCTGTGAAGGCATCTGGTCCTGGGCCTTTCTTGGTTGAAAGTTTATTAATGACCTTCTCTTTTTCTAAAAACATTTGGTTTAGGCCTGTTAAGGTTTTCGACACCAGGCTGTCTTCATTTGGGTAGTGGGTGTGCTTCTAGAAGCTTGTTGATATCCACTAGATTTTCAAATTCCGTAGAGCACAATCTTTTGTAGCAGTTATTTGTTGTTCTTATTTCATTTGGTTGTGTTGCTATGCCACTCTCTTAGTTTCTGACTCTAGATATTTACTTCTTCCCGTTTGCTTCCTTTGTTAAATTGGCCAGTGGCTTTCCATTCCTTTAATCTTTCCAAAGAACCAACTTATTTTGTTAAAATGTTCGTTGTTTTTCTGTTTCCTAGTGCATTTATTTCCTCTTCTTGTCTCTCAGTGGTTGAATGTATATTGTGTTGCTCTTATACAAGTTTGGATATAATGTGTTCGGGGATTGATTTTGGCTCTCCTCTTGTTTTCGTGTGTGTGTTTATTGTTCTAAATTTTCCTTATAATTGCTTTTGTCTTGCGACAAAAAAATTTGGTATGTTGTGTTTTCATTCTCACTTGGTTCAAGAAAATATCCTTTATCATCCCTTATTGGACCTATTACTCAGTTGTTTTTAAGTAGTTCAGTTTCCACGCATTTGATTTTCGCCCTTGTTCTTTCCATTTTTGAATTCTAGTGTTATAGTGTTGTGCTCGGAGAAGATGAGATGTAGAATCAAAATGCCTTTAAACGTATTGTCTTGCTTTGTAGTCTGCCAAATGATCTAATCTTGAGAATTCTCTGTGTGCACTGGAGAAGAATGTATATTGTGTTGTTGGATGAAAGGTTCTGTATATGTCTAGGATGTCAAATGGGTTACCGTATATACTGGAGGATAAGCCACCCCGAATATCAGCCGTGGCACCTAATCTTACCACAAAAACTGCATTAAAAATGGCTTATACAAGCGTATATACAGTAATTGTGTTGTTTAGCTCTTATGTGAATTTAAATTTCTTTCCTTACGATCTGTCTTTTCTTGGGAATTGTGTATTGAAATCTACTATTATCTCTTCTACAGTATTTCTTCAGTTTTGTGAGAGTTTGATATATTTTGATGGTCTTTTGTTGGGACTGTATATGTTTAATATGGTTATGTCTTCTTATGCTATGATTCCTTTAAACATGATGTACTGCCCTTTTGTGTCTCATTTTTTTGCTTTGAAGTCTGTTTTATCTGAGATTAATGTTGGCAGAGCTGCTTTTTTAATATTTCCATTCACTTAGTATGCTTTTGTCTACCTTTGACTTTAATCTATTTTTATCTTTGGGTTTGTTGAGGTACATTTCTTGTAAGCAGCATATTGATGGGTCTTATTATTTTAGCCAGTTGGCTATTCTCTGTCTCTTGATTGGTACATTTAATGCCGTTAATGTTCCATGACATTACTTGTATGTGTGGATTTGTTGCTGTCGTTTTGATGTGTATTTTTCTTTAATGTGAGTTTCTTTATTCTTCCTATATCAGTGCTGTTTTGGATACTACTTTGAATGTGTTGGGTTTTGTGTGGAATTGTGTGTGAAAACCTGAAATTTACCTCAGGTTTATGTGCTGTTGTTGATTATTTGACTGTATTACTGCATTCAGTCTATTTGTAATGGTTATCTTGTTTTTACAAATACCTTTAATTTCTCCTAGCTTGGGAATACTCTTATGGTTCCCTCACATTTGAGTAATAATTTGGCTGGATACAAGATTCTTGGCTGATAGGTCATTATTGTTTTTCCTTTCAAGACTTTATGTCATCTTGTATTCTTGACTGCATGGTTTCTGCTGAAAAGTCCTAGCATATTCTCATTATTGCTCCTTTTCTTTCATTGCCCTGGGTATCGGAAAGTGTGACTACAGTATGTTGTGCTGTTTTTCTCTTGGTGGGGTTCTCTCAGCTTCCTAGATAGTTATCTTTTATGCAGTTATAAACATTGCCTAGCAGGCGTTCTTGT